TATATATATATATATATATATATATATATATATATATATATTACTAGCCTTATTGCATATGCCACTTTTCCTATACCAATATCGAGGACTTCATACATATACTGTGTACATTCACTTCATATGCTGCTTTGCCACTTACTACAAATGTCAGTGTCAGGACCTTCACTTCACTTCATTTCATTTTATTTTATAGATATACTTTTTAAAATATTTTTTATACTGCCATACTACAATTTAAGACAGTATCATACTTTTATTATTTCATTTTATGCTTATATTTATTAAATGTTTTGATTTGCTCATTTATCCTGCTCTGTGCTTTTTTTAAATACATTTACATGTGTTTTTTTTATCCATCCAGACAGAGGTTGGCTCATGTCTTTGCATTATTCTGACCAAGTTTATGCTATTTGAAATCTGTACACATATTTCTCTTTTTCTTTCTGAACAGCAGCTCAGAAGGTATGTTGAGACATTACAACATTTTAATTTGAGACGTTGCTGTGAGTGCCTATATCATTTTTAGGAAATATTTAAAAGAACTGGATAAGTAAGTTAAAAAGTAGATAATAATACACAGAGTAAATTCTTGATTTCGTTTAGTAACGTAGGATTTGAAGGGCATGTGAAGCCCTTCCCTTGACTGTGCTTCCATCCTTACTACCCTTCATGAGATTCTTTGTTTTCCTGTTGCAAACACAAAGTGTGGCTGTGGTGAGAGATCCTAATTAATAATGCAAATCATACAAAATAGTGTAACAATGTGAGCTGATTGGGCTCTTAAAACAATTTCTGTGATTTCTGGAGAAAACATTTTAGAATATACCCACAGCAGCCCATTTTACCACTTGTGAGGACCAACTGGCTTAGAGCTTAAACATAAAAAAACAGCTAAGAGTAATAACTTCAACACCACTTAGTTCTGAGAGTGTATGTCAGCTGTGAGCTAACTTAAAAAAAAAGTGGGAAACGTTGTCTTGACTGCTTGATTTGCTTTGGTGGGAGGGCTCAACTCTCCAACCAATTATTATGTTATTAGCCCCTTCTGGTTGGGTATTTTATTTCCCATCTGAGGCATCCTGTAAATCAGCACAGACTCATCACAATGACTTCACCAAATTACCAAAGAGGGGGGAAAAGTACAGTGTACTGCACTAAAAAAGGCAACTTTCAGCTCAACCGGTCATAAATAAATAAATAAACTGACATTTAAGATGGTTACTACAGCAATTCAAGCTTGACCTACACAAACATGCATTTTGTGTGAATTTACTTGAAATTAAACTAAAATTTGTGTAGTAGTAACTCACATTCATTTACAACAAATAGTCAAAACTATATAGAAGATGTTAAATTTCATGAGATAGCGCAAAATTTGATTTTCAATATTTCGTTAAACTGCCTACAACCCTGTTTCCTTTCATTGTTTTAGTCTATTGCTGGCATGAAAAGCAGCGGGCGATATGCACTCATTCAATCAATGACAGGCTTTTATTTTAAGTTTTACTGTGTGAGAAGAATAATTAAAAAAAAGGCTGATATTAAACAGGTGCACACATCTTATTGCATTTGTCTGTGTGTAACTTAGTCTGAGATGACTGAAGAGCAGCTGGAGTTTATCTCGGTTCCATCATTCATGAATTTAGTTTATGTGGTTTAATCAACAGATCTGCAGCTGGACTCTAATTAAATATTCAGAGGAACTTTCCATTTCTCATTGTTTTCTTTCATCATTCCCAATCTTCTCTTCCTCCTCTCCCTTATCTCTCCACCTTGAGGTTTTTCCTCCATCCTGACACTGATTAGAAATGAAAAGACAAATTAATCGGGGAGCACCAGGTTGCCAACTTTCTCTTACAGAGGACATTCACAGAATTTTTAGGGGAGATGCAACGTCACCTTCCATCAACACTAAAGGGGCTGAGAGAGAGAGAGAGTGTGTGTGAGGGAATGTATCAGCAGGAGCATCACGAGGCCCATGCATAATCACCTTATTATATCCCTGTGAATGGAAAAGTGAATTGAGCTGATTAGAGGCTGGATGAGAAGAAAAGGCAAGATGAGAATCTTGGCATGCAGAGCAGCTCTTAGTGAAAGATGATGAAAGAAGGAAGATAAAGAAAGGATGGACATGAAGAGAATGGAGGTTAAAAAAATGAGAAAAATGTTCAAATATTTTAGGGAATAAAGTAGAAACAAATGGGAAAGAAAAAAAACATGGCAACTTCACATAAAAAAGATTGACAGCGTATTAAAACTGTAATAAAATTGTTTTTATTCCAAAGTATTATTACATGTGAAAAATAGTTTAATGTGTAAGTAAATAAACATTGAACAGAATCAGGAATCAGTTTTAACCCAATATTTGTACTTTTCTTGTCCGCCACTGCCGAGCGTTCATGAGGGACGTGGAAATCCTCCGTGTGTGTCCGTCTGTCCGGTGGCTAATTCGAACGTTGC